GACTTGGATATCTATTTTCCGGACCTCATCTCATTAGTTTTGATGTATTCAATAGCAGATTCTAAGATACAAGGCATTACTCATGTTTATAAATTGTAGCTTCCCTTTATATTTTCCTCCCAGTTTTAACAAAACTTGCCCAGGATTTGCAACGGGAAACCTGAAATTCCTGTTGCAAGATTGGTATGATGGAATGAAATTTGATAGAAATGGAATGAGTTTGATAATGGAATTAAACAAGTTTTTTTTATTAATGTGTTTGGTGTGCATAAGACATGAATGGAACTACAATATCATCTTATATTATCATTTGTCATTATTTTATTAAAAAAATTAATATATATATATTAATATTCTTATTTATATACTAAAATTATTTTTTAAAAACATGAGAGAGTAAATAATAATTTTTTTTTCAACTTTTTTCATCACATTAACCATTGTAATAAAATTTTTGTAATAGGTACACCTTATCCTGCCCATCCACAAATTCAGAATTTAATTATTCTGTCAACAAAAATATCTTTTTTTCAACTTTTTTCATCACTTTAACCATTAAAATAACATTTTTTAAAGTTTATATATCCAACAATCACACCGGAACTCTTTAAATATATTTCTTCATAATCTCCCCCGATTATATCAAACTATCAAAGTGAAGTAGACTTAATAGTGAAGCTTAAGTACTTCATAGAGTTAATAAATTAATGTAGAAATTCATCTTGTTCAAGCACCACAACCATATCAGCATGAGATATGCATACAAAGTAGAAGCACACAGTGCAGCTCCTCACTCAAGAACAGCCATCACACAAACACATGAGAAAAATCAAGAAAATAAAAACAAAAGGACAACGATCCTATTTCCAATTAACATCCTGCAATGCCTTCCTCTTTGCAGGTCTAGCTTCAGTTAAATCACCAAGAACTGAATTCTTATGTGCTGGTGCATTCTCTTTCATATCTGCCGTTTTTGGGACCTTACTGGGTGTCCCATGTATCAAAATGGTTCTTAAATTCTTCGTTGACTCGATCTCAACTTTCAGTGGCGACATTTCATTATTTATATCAGAACCTTCAAAACCATAGAAAAAATAATAGATCATCAGAAGAATAAGCATAATTATAAAACATGATAGTATAAGACATTGCAAGTTTACCAGAATTCCCACCCAAAGGAACGATAGCAGGGAAATTTTCAACCATCTCTTTTCTACTGCAAGATTCCTTTAATGACAAATCTTTTGTTTGTTCTTCACCTTCCTTCTCAACTGCCAACTCATCAGCAGAATAACCTGCAAAAGAAAAAAAAAATATAATATCAAACTCATGTAGTCTGTGGATTTCACCAGAACCTAATGTAACAAGGAGAATATATATATACCTCCAACATGTACATTAACGCGGATTGCTTCTTCTAATTCTTTACTTCCCGTCTCAAAGCTCTCATCTTTATGCGATCCATCTTCACACAAGGCCTCATTAATCCAAGCCAATTCTGAACCAATATACTCATTAATGGTATCAATAACGTCACTTTCTTTCAAAAGTTCATTACATGTGGAGGGAGATGCACCATTCTTAGAGCATACAGATTGCTCTTCTAACTGCACTGCTTCAGCAGCTGGGCTTTTCTCAACCTCTTTATCGTTTTTAACATCATCTGCTTCCCTGTTGAGAGGTGGTGTCCCAACACCAGATTTCTCGATATCACCATTTTGAGCATGTGAGACATTTCGATTTTCCGTATTGGAATTTTCACCTTCTTCCAATTGAAACTCTGAACTGGAAAGTTGGACTTCCATGGAAATCGAATTCTTCTCGTCCTCTTTATCCTTCTCCTCAATATCACATCCCAAATTCAGGATTGGCATTCTTGCCTCCAATTTATCACAATCCCCATTTTCATCATCTCCTAGGAGCTGATGCATAGCCAAACTGCTGAACACATTAACTTTGGCACCTGAGACAGAACATCCTTGTTCTGTATCAGAAGGAAAAAAAAAAGATCATTAGTCATGTTAAGGTTCCAAGTAAAGGCATGTGATCATTGCAGCATCAACAAAATAAAAATTCTTTATAACAGTTATTTCGTGGTGAATATATATACAAATGAATTGACCAAACCTGCAGCAGAAAGGACGTCGTCCTTGTTCTGGGTGATTGTGCCAGTCTCCTTGCATGTGCTATCAAGTTCAAGAGAGTTGTTACTGACTGAAGGACTTCTCAAAGAGTCCACTTCTGTTTTTATATGTGGCTTTTCTGAAGTATGATCAGATGGTCTGAAGTTGTCATTTCTAGCTTCATATGGAACATCATTTTCATCATCAACCGTCTCAGGCTTCTTTTCTGTAACTTCATCATCTTCATCAGAGGCCTTAGTGATAAAACTGGGAGAGGTACCTATAAAAATAAGAAAGAAGCACAAGAATACAGGAGACTTAAAAAGAGATAAGTTGTGAAGTTGCATAATTTGTTCTTGATTAGCAAATGAAAAGCAAAAACTAAGTTCATTTACCCTTTAAGAGCACCCTGTAAAATATAATACTTGTTAACAGACTTAAGCTAATTTATGCTCTAATGTTCACAATCGTGTTTTAATGCTAGCATTTACTTCCTACAGACATAATTACAAAACGGTTTCGATACTTAATTTTCTTCCTAAACATACAAGCTTAACGTAATGATATATGACATTTTACTCACCATTGTAGCTCCCAACATTTGCCGCTTCTACACTTGCAAGGTCCTTAAAGGTCCCACATAACCTTTTGCTCAAAATGCTGTCTTCAAAGCCGGCAGTAGCTTGAAGACTGTTCTCAAGTAGATTAGACTTTTGATTGTTAACGTTAGGTGACTCGAATTGAGCTCCATTACTTTGTGCCGTTTTCCTCATGGATTGAGGACAAACATTAATTGTATTGCTGCCATTTTCTGATAAATCACTACAACTTAACATTTCTTTGCCACCTTCAAGTTTATCCAAGTTCTTCGGTGGACCAGATAAGCATAAGGTATTTATCTCTGTCAATTGACAGCGATTACCAGTTGCTTCCTCATAAAGAAATGATGTGTCTTCAATCAAAGGCTGCTCTGTAGCATCCGAAAGAAATACAGTAGACGTGTTTACGAATCCAACATCACCTGATGAACTTCCAAAGCAAAAGCTGTGCTCCAGTTGAGTTTCAGCAACTCGCGTCTTGTCATCTTGTATACTCTGAGCAACTGCATCTTCTTCAGTTGTATAGACACATTCTGTACTTGACACATCAGCTTCATCCAACCTTTTCCTACGGCTACAGGTTTTGTCAACCAGTGAAGGACATTCGATCTTCATTGGTGTTGCAAAGAGCAATTGCAACTGATTATCTACACAGACAAGAAGAGAAGAAAGTAAGAGAAGGTTAGTCATTCAGGAGTTAGATATGTAAGGCTGAAACAAAGACTATTGACCTTTACCTTCACTGTCCACACCAAATCCACGATCAAAATCAGATACTTCTGTTGGCAGAAAAGCATTTTCATATGTGGTGTTTAAGGACTCGCTTCCTCTTTCTCCCTCCATTTCTTTTTCCCCATTGGTCAATCTGTCACCACTCTTGGCATCATATTTGTTCGTACACAACATTATATTTGGCCTTTCAGTTCCTTGAGGAGCAGTATCCCATGATCCAGTAGGAGTTGTTTCAAAAAGATTTGCAAGTTTAATTTCTGAAATAAAAAATAAAAGTCAGTGACAATTTATAGAGAATTGTATGTAGTGAAGTTCAGTATCATATAAACCAACCTGCCCATCTTTGGCGGGATACCACATCACTTTGTTTTTCACCAACATCTGAAATCGTATGATTCTCGTGCAGGTTCTCGGACTGATGTACAATATTCTCAGCATGATGGAATTCCAATTCACAAACACTTTCAGCCAATAGTTTGCTAGCAGTACCATCATTGGCAACACATGCATCTGCAGCCACATCATTAGCGTAGCCACAAACCTCATCATTGACTGCTATAAAATAGATGCGTCTAAAATCAATCATCAGAGATCAACACCACGTAAAATACATTATATTTTTGGGTTAATTGCAAAAAAAAACCCAACCTTTCTTAAAGTTGCAAAAAAAAACTCAACTTCTTCAATATAGCATAAAAATACCCAACCTTTCAAAACTTTTGCAATTGTGTCTCGAAGGAAGATTCCGGTCAATTGGAGCTGAGGTGGCTTACCGGAAAATTGACACGGGCGACGACACAGTTCTTCTACTCCTCACTGACGCACAGTTCTTTTCCCTTCTCCCCATCACATTCCCTGTCTCCTTCCTCCCCTAATCCAACGGCCCCAGATGGATCTCAGCCCGAGGTGCATCCAAACGAAATTGTTTCATACTTCAGAGAATGGTTCATGTCCCGAAAGAAACCCCTCTTCGACACCGTCTTCGAGATCCTCCGCACCCAGGAGGAGTCCGCCGCCGACTCAGCCCTTTCCCGATTGAATCTCAGGCTATCGGAAATCCTAATTCTCGATGTGTTGGATTACGGCAAGAAGGACGTCCTCTCCTGCTTGAAATTCTTCGATTGGGCCGGCCGGCAGCCGGGCTTCCACCACACGAGAACCACGTTCGATGCCATTTTCCGGATTATATCCAAAGCCAAGATGATGAACTTGATGCTGGAGTTTCTGCAGAACTATATGAAGCAGAGGTATGTTCACAAGATCAGGCATTACAACATATTGGTGATGGGTTATGCCGTGGCAGGTAAACCCGAGACTGCACTCCAGGTGTATGGCGAAATGCGGTTCCTAGGCGTGGACCTTGACGAGCTAGCTTACCATGTGCTCCTGAACTCTTTCATCGATCATGGTTATTTTGATGCTGTGGAGACTGTAGCTCGCGAGATTAGACTTAGAGGCTTCCAGAATGAGATCACGCATTCGATTATGATGAAGAGTTTCTGCAAGCGGAATGAGTTGGAGAGAGGTGAAGAGTATTTGCGCGACACGGGCCGTAACACGGTCATCTTGCCCGTGTCATTGCCCGTGTCAATTTTCCGATAAGCCACCTCAGCTCCAATTGACCGGAATCTTCCTTCGAGACACAATTGCAAAAATTTTGAAAGGTTGAATATTTTTATGCTATATTGAAGAAGTTGAGTTTTTTTTGCAACTTTAAGAAAGGTTGGGTTTTTTTTTTGCAATTAACCCTATATTTTTCATAAATGAGTGAGTATACACACTAACCATCTTCATTTATTTTATTAATAGCAGTAGGCACGACTGGTAGACCTTCTAGTCGCTCTTCTGCAGCAAAATAAGCAGGACATAATGAATAGAAGGTTTCTAAAGTACCTCTTTTATTTAATCGTGGGTGTCACCTTAAAATAAAATAGAAGGTTTCTAAAGTACCTCTTTCAGGAATATATTCCTTGGTATGCACATCCGGTGGATTGACAATTTCAGGGTTCCTATCACATGCCCTCTTCTCAAGCACCAACATTTCATCTCCACATATATTATTTCCAAAAGAACATACACTTTTCTCCAAAACCAGAGCACAATCAGCTTCTTTGTCAATGATTTCACACGTTTCAGAAATTATTTGCCTGCTATCTAAAATCATAGAATAAACTCAAAACAGTAAATATTACAAATAAGCTCTATCATCGACCTCTGGATTAAAAAAATAAATACATAAATAAGCAAAATATTCACTTTATGATAGATGAAATATTCAAAATGGAACCCCTAAAATTGAAACAAAATAAGCAAAACACAAATGAAATTGTTTACCTCGAGGTACAGAAGAACTGATTGGTTGTGGACCTATTTCCTTTATACTCAAGCTACCAGAATTGATTTTAACTTCGTTAATCGTGGTTGATGCTGCAGGAACTTCATCAAAGACCGCTTGTTCAACAGACATGATCCCTCTAGCTTGTGGTGTATCCCTAACATTTTTTCCACTGTCAAATAAACTAGAAAGACCAAACTCCCCGTCATCATCTCTTTCATACTTGTTCTCTAAGCACCCTCCGTCATTATTTCCAGCTGGTTCTGACTGATTATCCTTACAGACACGGGGTTCATCTCCTTCAGCTATTTGATCTGCCTTAGCCTCACAACCACTCAACTCATTTTCGAGTCCTTTATCATCAGAATCCTCAATGGACATTTCATCGTAAATGATGTCCCCATCTTGTGGCAAGATCGTATCTCTTCTTTCAACACCAAGAATATCAGAAACGATAAATTCCTTGTCTTCATCACATTTTCTGTTGTGAGAGTTAGGGAACCCACCATCATCAGTTTTAGCTGTATGATCAGCCTCAATGTTTCTCTGTAAACAAATATTAGGTAACTCACAGGTGTGCATGGGGAATACAACCGAGGATTCTTTATTTATATCTCGTTCATCAGATTCCCTGGCTGAAAATTCACCTGAATCTATTCCTCTATCTTGTAGGTTGATCATTGCACTTATTTCACTACCAAATAGATGAGACACAGAAAATTCATCATCTTCAATTTCCGCAGTTAAATTACCCTGCAAGCATCCACCTTTTTCAGTTTCTGCATTGTTACTCTCGATGCTTCTCGACTTGCTTGATGATGGCTCCTTCACTTGTATTGCTAACTTTGATTGAATATTATCTATGCATCTCCCTGATACTACACCAATTATAACACGGCATTAGTAAGAACAAATTTTGTAAAAGATGGAGACAAGGAAAAAAATATATGCAAATTACAATACAATTACACACCACAGGAATCTGAAGGACCAACTTCTCCAGCTTTTGAAGATCCGTCTTCGTTATTACTTTTGTAACTTCTGTTGGATGCATCTATATGCTGCTTATTGTCTTCTAAGTATGCAATTGGAGGACTAATCACATTCATTTCTCCATTTCCAAAAGGTTCCAGTTTCTTTTTAACATAAACCCCTTCAACTTCACCAGCATGATCAACCACAACAGAACCTGGTGTTGTGTGCTTGTCTGCTTCAGCCTCGATCACTTCTAGACAACCTGCAAATTATTCAAGAAAATTAATTATATGCTTTGTTAAGCTGTCTACACAAATTAGAGAATAATTTCAAGAAAATAAGCTTACTATTGACATCAGTTTGATTCCTGAGTAATACTGTATCAGTGGAGGGGCAGATCTCGGCATAACCTTCATTCCTAGAAACAATTGAGCCTTCCTGCAGCATTTGACCACTAGTCATGTTCAAGCAGCTGGAACCCTTTATCTGGCTGGAGAACTGAGCTTCAGATTGATTCCTTTCCACGCTTGTGGCAGTTTTTTCAATTATGACATCACACTCCAAAGAATCTAACTTTTCTGCATTATCCTTAATGTTGCTGGCAGAAATTTGTTTTCCAGAATCTTTAGAGTTTGCGGACTTATTCCCATCACTAATTTCCACATGGGAATTTTTAGCACAGCCTACAGAAGAGACGCATTTTTTCCCTATGCGAGTCCTCCTGCCCGACATCTGACTCAAATGGCTAGTCATGTTTTCGTTTTTAGTTTCACCCCTTGAGCCTGAGTCCCTTGTACTATCCGCTCCATCAGGCAAACACGGCTGACTTTCCAAAATAGAGACAGTTTTCTCGTTTCTACCTCCTTTTACAGGCAATTTACGAGACCTCGTCTTAGTGGTCTTCACAGCACCTTCTTCCAATCTGGGCCCTTTTTTGCGCTTTCTCACTTCATTCTTTTGTGGAAAAACAGAGCATTTGCTTGTGTCATCTCTAATTCCCACCGAGTTACTGACAGTAGCTATCCTTCTTGACCTTCCCATATTCTTCTCAACCGCAGAACTTCCATTCTCCATTGGATACCCTCCACTTAAATGATTTTCTGTTTCACAAATCTCAACTACTTTACGCCTTGACCTCCTCATAACTTCAGAAGGCTGAGGCACCTTCTTCTCGTTTTTAGAAACCCTGCCAGCAATTACTAATTGTGGTGCTGAACTTCTCGGCTGTTTTGTTTTCTTGGTTTCTGCTGTAAGCTCACTGTTTCTTGCATTTTCATGCGGTGCAATTACAGATTCCCTCCTCTTACTTCTTTGAACTTCCGGGTTAATGGGTTCTGCTGTATGAACTTCACCTACACTGGCACCAACTTTATCCACATTCCTCCTAGATCTCCTCAACAAAATTTCAGGCTCAATCATATTCTGTGCTTCTGAAATTTTCCTGTTCTCCAGGATTTCATCCTCATTTTTCCCCTCAGTTTTCATATCCTCACAACCCGCCATAAACCCTCTCTTCCTGGAAGAACACCTTGTAACCACTCTGCCATCATCAATTTCAACACTTTCAACTATCACAGTATTCTTTCCAGAAGCCCCCGACAATTTCTGCCTTCTCGACCTAGTAAGTCTACCAGGGCCCTCCACATTTTCCTCGATTGGTTTTTCATCACCAGCATCATCAAAAGATTTCCCGTTTCCCATTTTATCTTCTGGCTTTCCTACTTTCTGTGCATTCTCCACGTCATCGGCTAATTTATGACGTCTCGACCGCAGAACCCTACTTGAAGTCTCAATATTACCCTCTCCCAACTTATCCTTATTAACACTTTCTACAGCCGAACCATTATTTTTCTGTTCATTACATTTTACACCTTTCCTCCCTCTCTTCTTATCGTTCACTTGTTGTTCCTGCATCAATGTCGACCCTCTGGTGCGTGTAACTCTACCGTTTCCATTCACGCATTTGCTGTCCATATGGCCAATATCATCATGTTCAACAGATGAAGCACTTTCTTTAACTGAAACAAAACTCCTTCTATGTCTTTGTTTTATTCCATGAGACCTCGTGAACTCAATCAGTTCGTGCTCCGGACTAAACCTTACCTTCTTGACTTGTCTGTCCCTAACCACATCGATAGATTCGATTTCACTCACATTTTTTTCCTGCTCATTCACTTGTCCCTTTTCCTGATTCGAACAACAAACAAACCATTTACTAACATTATTCAAAAAGAAAGAGAGAAAAAAAATATTACAGAGCCGACATAGATTTATTCGGCATTAATTACCTTGAAAAAATCCGCAAGCCTTTTCCCCATCTCCAAGTTTGATAAATTTGCAGGGATTTTGTGCTTCTTGCATAGCGCCTGCAACTCTCTGCGTTTCAAGCTACGGAAATCCATATTTGCATTGACCTAAGAAAAAAATCACCGGAAAAAAAGGTAATTCATCTAATTCATGTTGCCCTGCATCTCTGTTGCCAGAAATCTTATGGCCATAGCAGGGACCGCCAGGAGAATCACGGTTTGAGTACAGTGGAAGCAAATGACTTTTGAAATTTGAAACATGAGTTTTCCCGCTCGATTTGGTTGACACGTGGCGCCAATCTGTGCGTGGAGCGGAGGGGTTTCAGCCTTTCAGGATCTCTAGGGCAAAAAGTGAATAATCGAACAGTTGGGAGAAGGATTTGAAAGTGGATAAGAATTGATGACGTGTCTGGTGATGAAAGTGGGATTTTATTTGAAACATCCACAAACTGTCACGTTAGATTTTAGACTTTTTATGTGAAAATTTGTAAAATAGTCTATAACACAAATTGTCACCTTAGATTTTAGATTTTATTTGTACATAACACTCACATTGAATAAGACCTACCAAAAATAAAAAATTAAGTGAATTCCACTCCATGTGAGTGTTATGTACACCTCTATATATATTTATTATATACATGTAGTATTTTCTTTATAATATAATATAGATAAAATAATGTTTAAAAACTTAATTTCATGAAAATTATTTTTTTCAAATTCATTGTCTAATTATAACGTATTTGGAGGACATTTATTTATTTATTTATTCTTGAAACAACAGATTCATTCACTAAAACACATAATTACAATCGGCTAACTAGCCGGAATAGGAGGACTCCAAAAGAGAATAACACGCTTCTCCAAAGAGGAGAAAAAAATACACAACCCACAAAACAAAACACCAACAAACACCCACTGCCTAACACAAATAACCTAAACAAACCTAAACAAAAACTACTAAACGAAAGCCCTCATGACCACCCACAGGCCAACACACCAAAATCAGCACCCGTCAGGGCCCCAACCTAGTAAAGGAGCTAGAAGCACTAATCTCCACCCCATCCAACGACAACCAAAGTCTTACAACCCCCTGAGCCACCAACCAACACCACCGACGGAGCCATCGCCCAACCCTAGGATTGACGGAGAGCCAGGGGGCAGAATACCAACGGCTCCAAGCTCGAAATCCTGCGACAACCACCCACGAAACTATTCGGCGGCCACCGAAGCTGAAACACCACCACCCGCATGAGTCAACCCCCAACACCATGGAGATGGAGAAACAGGGAAAAAGAGGAACTAACCTTGACACCGACCACGGGTCACTGCCCAGCCGAAGAAGACCCCGCCCAAACCCAACCTTCACCTCGACGACATTTATTTTGTTCAAATATAACGAATGTGGTTGGTTAGAGATAGTGAATACTATAGACGAAAAATACAAAATTACAAACATTAAAATTAAGTACGTCACATATAAATAAAAATAAATTACAGTACAAATTATTTCAAACAAAATACAAGAAGCATAAAATAGAATACATTGTCAAATTTAATTGAGACACAATTCGTCTTTCAATTCTGCAAGAAGCCCATAGTGAGCTTATAATTCTTCTTCAATCATAGTTGAAGAGTCTTCCTTTAGCATTTCTCTATAGGTCTTCCACACTTCAGGCATATGAATTTTTTTTCTTTATCTCCTTATGTTGTTTTTCATGTATATTCATTATTTATCTAAATGCAGTCAACATTGTTCTACCCTTTGATAAGTGCTACTCTCTATGCCACTTTTTTTCTTTCTCTTTGTAGCCTTTGTTGTCTTCTGGCTGATGAGGCGACAACGCATCTTTCATCGTCATCACCAGCATGATCCACATCTTGTCCAAATCCATAAGTGTGATCTCCCGACTATGATGTTCTAGATTTCTTTTCTCCACGAATTGCTCCACCAGTCCCTTGAAATTTTGGAGTATTTTTCAGAACCTCCCAACATTAAAGCCACTTGAAGGCTCTTTTGTCCGTGGCGCTCGCGTTGGGCAACCCTCTCTCAGGCCGGGTACTGGGACGCCCTTTTGTCCTGAAGCCGCTGCCTCGTGCGGACCGTTTTCCGGTGTCCTAGCCGCAACTCTGTCGTCTTCTCCAGGCTGGAGGCCTCCCGGCTAGCTTAGCAGCCAAGTCGGGTCTCCTCAAGATGCGCGAGTTTGGTCCTCAGTGACTTCGAGCTTTTAGATCTGGACTAAGGCTGGCCTTCATGCCAGTTCTATCTAGCTGCTTCCGTGGAGTTTTTAGCTCTGGGGTCCATTTTTGTCGGGTTTTAGGTTTTGTTCATGATTTTATTGTGTGTGGATTCTGGCTTAGTGTTCGTCTGCGTTCTATTGTGGTTTGCTTGTGTTAGTTGAGAAGACAGTAGTTTATAATTCGATTAGGTGGGTGTTAATTTTATTTTTTAGTATGTGTTTCTCCACTTGTTGGAGTACTTAGTTCGTTGTTTTGTTTGGATGGGCTCCAGCATGCCAATCACAGTTGCCGATTGTCCCTGTCGATTGTCTAGACCTAATTCCAATTGTTTTTCTTTGTCTAGGGTTTTTCGGTTAGCATTCCTTCCGATTCCACCTCCTTGGTGCTTTTATAAGAGTTAGTTAACCCTCAAGTCTTCATTGTAAAATTCCCTTTTGGAGGTTTATAAAATCTATCGTTCGCTAAAAATGATAATAATAATAGAAACGGTAATCTGGATTACACATCAATCTTGTTACAATTCCCAGTATGCTAGCATTTCGAAAATGGTAGATAAATATCTCAAATCACAAGAAATGCGAAGCCCTTTGCTTCTATTCACTGTCTTCCGTTTGTTCCCTGCTTTGTTTTATGCTTGGAGCTTACTCTCGTCGCATTTTTGTTTTCCTTATTGGCGTGTGCGCGTAAAGCAAGTATATAATAAGTTGAAATCACGGTGAAAGTCATGCTCAAATCATTGCCGATATCGACTTATCTTACAATAAAAATTGACAAACTTTCTCAACGTCCCTTCCATTTATGTTTCCGGAACATGATATATTTACTATTTAGGAATAAGTATTCTTTTAATTTGATGAAAAATCACATATTGACAATTAGCTCCATACAGACATTGTGGACCTGCGGTTATAAGGACAGTAAAAGAGCAACAAATATCAATATGACATTCATAGTCCCTAAAGATTGAAGGATCTCTTCGTAATTACAACAAAAAGTTTATGTAGTCGAACAAATTTTAGTCTCGAACGGTTCTAAAACCACACTTCCATACGTGTGTGCAAGGCAAATGTCCTTAAGATATGAGAATAAAGAGGATAAATTAAAAAGCCAGTTCCTTTGTACAAAGGTTAAAAAAATATAACACAAGACAAGCCAATATACTTTCGAACTAGCAACTCAACTTGAGAAGTATGTTGAATTTCTAAAGCAAGAAAGCCCAGCTACAAGTGATATAACCCTTGGAACGCACATCACTGATCAATTGAATAAGCAGACAATTTATACCATCACACCCGAACTGCAAGAGTACAAAAATCATTCGCCTAACAGCAAAACTGCCAGATAAGTAAAAGTGCGCCTCACATTCTTTGGTATTTGCTATATCAGTACCCTGCTCATCAGAATCCGGTTATTCAAATGTGTAGTGCTCTCTAAAGAGCAATGACCTGAGGCATTGACATCCCCACAGAAACAATAATCTCTGAAATACAAAACCGGAAAAGGAGAAAATCAGTAAAAAGCTGCAACGGATTCAGCTGTGACCAGGAAAAAAAAAGTAATTAAAAAAAAAATAGTAAACAAAAGCCAGAGAAAGTTAGCTTCTAATATTTCAAGTTGAATCCATACGAAAGGCAAAAACCAGGGCATTTTTGAATTAATCACTTTCTGATTAGCAATCAAAATTTGTCTAGTCATTGAACTGTTTAGGACAAGACCTACCTATGCCTTCTCGAATGGATAGATTGGGTCGTATAATCTCTTTGGAGTTAACCAGAAAGACATCTCCAATGTACAAATGATTTGTAGGCACATAAACAGAGCATAATTCTTCATCCCCGTCATCTCTCTGAAATAAACAGAAGAAAAAAAAAAACATAAAAAATCTAAACCTAAAAGATAAAAATGAAATAAAGGCCATCCAGCCATTCATTATACCTCCACCTGTCTCAAACCCAGTAATAAAACCTAGTTTGCCTACCAATTCTAGGTCTAGTGTAATATAAATTATTGTCTCAAAAAGAAACATTCAGAAGCAACCTTTGTATAATTCCTAGAGTTTTGAGTATAAATTCAGAAAGAGATTCAAAAGATATAGTTAAAGGGAACCTGAAGAACTACTGAAGATGTAATAAACCCGAAAGCATATTCTCCAACACGAGGATGACGGATAATAGCGACCTCCTTAAAAGCAGTTGTATTCTGGTCTGGAACATAATAAACAAAGTCAAATTTCAGACCCTCGAGCAAAGATAAATCCCATGCAATGGAATCATTGATACAATACTGGTAGAATCTCGTATCGAGAAAAACAACACCACATCAGTCATACAAAAAACAACAGGTACTGATTAAGATGCTATTCATTAAGCTACAATACATCCATATAAACAAACTCTCAGAGCCCAACGCTACTTGAGTTTTCATGATCCTAAATTGCCTTGAGAAAAAAAGAAAATGGAACTGCAAACTTAAGTTTCACCAGTTGCATCTAGAAAAAGACTCATCATAAGCAAACAATCAAACCTCTTTAAACTGCTAGCTAACTGAAATCTTAGTAAACTAATTGCCAAGTTAGTAGATCAGAACCTTTTTCTATATTGCATTGAATAATGCATTTGCACCTAAATAATAAAGAGACGATATGTCAAAAGTCACCTGGAGATATTGCAGAACTAATTTGCTTGGATGCTGAGTATATATGTTTCACAAACGGCATTCGCTTTATAAACCATTCCCCTATCAAGAAAACGGTAGAACCCAACCATGATGAAGCGAATATACCAACAAAGAAAATAAAGAATATCGATGTGATGAATCCAAGGCCTGCACAAATATGAGGAGATAATTAGCCAAAGAAAACAGGTTCAGAAAAATAATTACAACGTTAACAATCATTATATCCACGAGTTTTCTTAAGTCTTAACAAAAATGGCAATGGATAAGAAATTAAACTGGAGAAATCATAAATACTCTACGATGCAAACTGTAACAGTTTCAATTTTGAAGAGCAGAAACTCAATTGATAGTATACCAAGTAATTCTTCCAGTTCTGATAAGTGATAAGCACCCAAAGTACTATGGGTATTTCATAATAAATAAAAAACAACGAAGTAAGAAGTAAGACCGCGTGTACCCTTTTAGAAAAGTAACAGAGACTTACCAAATATGTCAATGCCAAGTCTTTCGTATATAGGACTGAAGAAACCATCAACAAACTGAATAAACCACCATGTGATGAAAAAGGTAACAGCAACTGGGAAGAGAACCACACTGCATATTTAAGTTCATCAGTTAAAGTTTTAATGGCAAAACCGGAAAGATGGCAAACGCCAAACAGGTGTGAAAAATGCAAACCGAAATGGTTACCATCCAGTCATAAACTTCTTTGAAACCCAACTCTGAAGGACAGCATAGCAAGCCTGTTGCAGCACGCGAGTTAGATTCACAAGGCATTTTAACCTTGAATTCGTAAAGGGTTCAAATAGATAGAAAAACTCAGTTGAAGAAATTTAAAATAAAAATTATGTATATTCCATATGTCGATATGTTCTAGATCCATTCTGGCGATAAATATTTCAAGCTCACTTCAATCCGTAACAGGTTAGAAGTGATAAGTGATAGCATGGAATTATCATTTATCTATCATTTGACTAAAGAAGCTAGAACCACTGTTGCAGAAAAACATTACTAGGCACCAAGCTCCTTATGTGATCACCTACGATTTTTTCTCACAACGGCTCTGCCTAATCCCATTTATACTACCCTATCAGTTTCGGCCTGCCTAGATATCAGGCCCCCAGTATACCGTCCGGAGAGCATGTCTTTTGAACATCGGCTACAACAATATCAACGTCAGTACACATAATCATATTATTATCAACTTATGTGTATCAAACTTTGGCATAAACGAGATGACCGATGCAAGTCAATAGGAAGGAAATGTTACAGACAACCTTAGTTCTTGAGGTCATCTGGTGCGAAAGAAACACACTAGCATTTTCCTTACAGTTTCTAACTTCAAATGCAAGATCAAAAGTTAGAAACTGGAAATTTCCATTGTTCTCTAACTGCTTCTATGTCTTGCGTGTCACCATGAAATCAACTCTATTTAAGGAAGTTATCATTTCTGTATCCACTTTCTTTCCTTGAGACCCCACATTTAGCTAGCAGCTATATGTTCAAGATAATTGGTTTTGGAAATCAGAGCAACACGAAATTAAGCTGCTCCTGCTCAGAAATTATTTATCAGTCATATAGTTAATGAAGTTCTTTCTTGTACCTCTTTCAGGCTCAATCATCATAACTTCTTTTCTTTTTTTTTTTTAAGAAAAAAGTTGATCTAGCGCAAGGATCTACTTCAACCTAACAAATGAATCAGGTCTACTCTTCCAACTCTATTAAATTAATTAATGTAACATGTAACTTTAATGAAAAGGAAAGGACTCATAGATATCTATGAGAAGAAATGAACAAAAATTTAAAAAGCAACGAAAAGGAAAGTTGTTGTTTCATTGCGACATCTCATTTACTCATGTATCAATGAAAAATTCTGTCATGGAATAAATTTAATAGCGTAAGATTCCAGAATCCAATGCTAACAATCAACAGGACGCGAGACGAGAATGTATAACCCAGTGAGAACACACCATACACTTCATACAAGAATCTTTTTTATGACCCAATTGTATACTATAAACAAGACGAGAACTTGACACTCAATTCTATAACCCACTACGCCATGCCAGGTGAAATATCAGTCTCTTCCCTTTCCTTTCATTTTTCTCTCTAATAATGTTTTTCTGTATGCTCAAGTGTATTTATAATTTCTCTTCTTTAACCGGCGTAAATTCCAACAAAAGAATTTAAGAGCACATAGACTATAGTAATAAATTTGTGATACAGCGTGTTCATAAAGTAAACTTAACATCAGAAGCTTAAATTCCGGAATTATATACCAACTCTTTCAGATCTTCTTCTGGACAAATTCATCAACTACATAAAGCACTGTCTGTTCGTCCTGTCCTGTATACCTCAAACTTTTTCCTTGTTTTTTTCATAAATTCAGCCAAAAAAGCCAATAAAAGAATTTTAATTCGTGTAAACCCACAAAACGAACAGGAAGTGCTCCAAAACATATTCAAGTATGTGTGTGAGCAAATATGCGCATATATGGAATGAAAAGCTACTGAATCAACAAAGCACGAGCGGTGAATGCGCAAACCTTTCTAGTGGAGGAGTTGTTTGGGGAATTAGGAGAGGATTTGACGGGATCCTCGACATCGTCGTTTTCACGCGGCGAGCTTGACAGTGGCGCCGTTGACTCTTTCTTCCCCCAATTACTGCTACTCTCTGCCGCCATTAATTCCAGTCTCATCTGCCGTACTGATGTTCCGAGCTCAAAGGGAGTCGGAAAACCCCAACCGGCGTGATTTTGGGGGAGAAAATCTCAATTTCTGTGGATGATGATTAACACAGCGATTTTCGTAGATTGCAGTCAAAATCCAATCCTCGCTGTTGCCGAATTTTTGTATAATTTCCAGCGAGGTCCCGCAAACTAACAATTATTTTCTAATTTCCCCCTATTTTGCTTGAGAAGTGGTAAGGGTATATGAGATAATGTCTTTTTATTACTTTTTTGTTTTTGCTTTTTGTAAAACTTAGGGCATGCTTGTTTATGAAATAATTCAGTTTTCACTCAAAATTTAACTCAACTTTAACTCAACCCTACTATCATTTATATTATTTATATAATTAAATATTATAAACCAATCATTCTTACATATCACATCAACTTTAATTCACTATTCATCCACTGACATAATTTTAACTACCTATCATTTCCAATCATTTATATCCTACTTTTACATCAAATCATTAATAATCATTTTCAATCATTTATATCTCACTAACAATTAACCATACTACCTTTTTCAAAATTAACTCTATTTAACTAAAATAACTCATTTTGAATGAAATATTTCATAAACAAGCACGCCCTTATTTTCGTTATAGGCACAATTCGATAGAGTATATTAAAAATTGTTTAGTACAAAATAATGAATACAAAAGTTATTTAAGTGCAAAATTTAGGTACTAAAATAATACTAACCCAAGTACTAAAGGTTTTGTTTGAGTATGTGACAAATATTTACACTCACATAATTAGATTTGATATTAGTGAAAATATACCAAAGTTCAAATTAAAGATCTTGATCGACTCATCTACAATTCTTCTCTTAACTAGATCAATGCCGCTAACACCACACCAACCTCTAATAACATTTTGGCTCCATGGAATCCATGAATTGATATGCAATAAATCCTAGAGGAATTTGCACTCTTACTTCAAGTTCTGATATATATTACACTTATACACATCTTATAGTATTATTTATAAATTTACTAGATCATGAATAAAATATTATACTTCTATCATGAAAAAAAAAACTCAAAAAAATACAGATCTTTACATATCTATTATGTCATAACGATATTAATCGAAAAATTGTTCAAAAAGCAAAACAAAAAAAAAATCTAGAGAAAAATGTTGTAGATCTTCAAAGATCTATATGTAATCGCCCAATTTTAAACGAAATGCAATGAATCAGTAAATCGGTTCTTTATAATCGGGACGATTTCACTTTGTCATCTCTCTTTTGTCTCGAAAAAAATAAGTCAGCTGGCTAGACATGTGTCGATTCTTGACTTTGCATGAAGTAAGAAATGACCTTTTTGCCCTTATTCAAAGTCGTATTGCTGCTCCATTCTTCCTATTGGGCTGTTTGATTTCAGCAGTCATATGTTAAATAGTACCCCATTGTTAAAATACTGGCCCAAGCTGAATTTTTAGGAATGGCCTAATGTAAAATAAAACCTAATTTCTAAAAATAGCTCAATTGTTATTCTCTTTCAAAATTTGGGCTCATATTTTATAAATACATGACCCAAAATAGATTGATACAATATATAGTACAAAAAAATTAATTTGTGAAACAAAATTGACCTCAAATTAAAACCATTACATAAATGATTTTAAAACATACAATATTGATTTTTATATTACAAGCTTTCATGAAAATATGATTGCTTCATTTTATTATTGCCACAATATTTTATATAATAAATCTTATAATATAAATAATTTATATGTTGTGTCTAAAACTTTAAAAAATACATTGCAGCTTATTATTTAACTCTATCAATTGAATTATTGTGAGTACGTTATCTGATATGCGTATTGCAACACCTTCCTTCTAAAGATCGGTTGTCACTTAAAATTCGCATTATATTATCCAAGAATATGGTATATACTTTGTTTATTGTTGTACTTTTTGTATCATTATTAAATGTTTATCTCATTATAAGAAAGATTGTTATTATTGTATATATTTTGGTGATTATGAATTAATTTTTTATTTTAGGTATTCCATTCGCAAATTCTCAAGGTTCGTCTCAGAATAGTTCCATAAGTCACATCATAAATGCTTCTTCGAGCGGTTAAGTACATTTGATTTGTTTTACAATGGACAACCATGAAAATGCGCCCCTGAGAACGTTGGTTAACAATATCCGCAAGGGTAATTCTATACTCATTATCAATTACTTTAACTTTTTTGTTTATATAAAAAATTAATATTATATTTACTCATTTATATTTAGATGGTATTTTTTTATTAAGAAGCAAGGACAATCTCTATCAATCAATAAGAGTCAAGGACAAACAATAAAGAAGTGTTTCCTATGCTATGACATGATCAATAAGAGTCAAAGACAGTCTCTGTCGCACGTCGGCTTACTACTGAAGAGCTCTGCATTTAGTCATGAGCAATTATAAGTGGCGCTTTTTAGAGTTACGAGTCAGTGGGGTTTGAAGATTTTGATTTGTGCTGATGGAGATTCTGACGATAGAAAAACTACGATGTTGTTTTATAAAGAAGTGTTTAAGAATATTTATATTTTTTTTCTTTATTTTTTTTCAATGATTTTGTTATGATTTTTACTATTGTTTATAATTTTATTATTTTTTCCTGTATCATATAGTTTTCCGTGCAAATGCACGGGACAAAAACTAGTTATTTTTAAATTTACTAGATCATGAATAAAATATTGTACTTCTATCTAAAAAGTGAATAGACCACATGTAACCGTTACAAAGCAATTATCAGGACAAATTAAAAGCAATTGGAATAATTAATTCACATAAGATATCTTCTTACCAAAAAAGCGGAACAATAAACCTATATCTCTCTATCATTACTCTCTCTCTCTCATTGCTATCATTAATCTCTCTTTCTTTCTCTCTGCAAAAACCTCCCAACGCCCACGTTCACACCTCTCAACGCAAAGAAACCGTCTTCAATGGCGAAGACCAAACTATCAATTTCGATTCCTAAAAAACCGATAAACGGTGTCGATGAAACCCCAAATAATAGGTCGAGTGCCCGGTTTCGTAAAATTCAGTCAAAAGCACAACCCAAATATGTTCAGAAAAAATTAAATTTCGAAAAAAAAAAGAACCTGAACCCTAATTCTGTATATGTTTCAAAAAATTAAATTTCATTGATAGATAGTTTTCATTCTGTATATGTTGCAGGTATATACAATATATTTTCAGTATATGTTTCCGCTTGAGTAATGCAACATCCTTTTTTTGAAAATACACAGAAAATAACTTTATGTTGGGCATTTTTAGAAGACGACGAACATTATGAAGTCGAGGAATCTCATAGTGAAACAGAAATCATTGAATTCGAAAGTTAAATTATGAAGGAGAAGACGAAAAAAAAAATTAGAAATATACTGTTAATAAAAACGTGAAAGATATTAACACGTGAAAGATATCTTTTTAAACTAGAAATATACTGTTAATAAATTAAAAATAAACTAGAAATATTTATGATTGACCCGTCTCATTTTTTTTTTCTTTATAAAATTTCACGTCCTCATTTTTTTTTCCGGTATATTTCTAGTATATTTCCGGTAAAATTTAATGTCCTCAGCAAAATCAGATCNATACGCAAAATTTTGTTGAAAATTTTCATGTCCTCACTCTTTTTTTTGCAGTATATTTTTGGTTAATTGTTCTATGGTGTGAATAAGAGTATAGTGCAAATTCAATTTTTTTTTTATTTTTTTTAACGTGAATCGATCTGGAAGAAAAATTCGATCGTTTTTTCAGTTTTTTTTCCGTATATCGTACTGCTTACTGATGATGAGAAAGCTTCAAACTCAGATTTCCTATATTTCTATAAGAAACGCAAAAACCGTCATACTCAAGATTTTAATTGCATATTCTTTAAACTTCTACCGGAAATTATGCGAGAGAAAATTGGATGGGATCGAACTTCTTTGTAACTGAATTTTAGACATTTATGTAGTTGATTTTCGACAATTAAGTAGAGTCACAATATCTTGTGTATTGATGGTATTTTTGCAATTTTTTGTATTTCGGGCAGGAGGGATGAAAATTTCCCATAATCCTAAGGGCTCATATTTACTTGAGAGGACTTCTAAGTCCATTTATCAAGGTTATATCATTCATTCAACTTGCCCACTCACTGGGCTAGAAGAAGGAAGGGAATAGTCCACTAATTTGTTGGGCTTCAATTTTACTTTTGCCAATTGTCTTTAATATTTATTGTAGATTCATTAGCTCCTAACCCAGTATGAAAGTTCAAGGGACTAACCTCACTCAATGCCAAATATAACGACCCAATAAATAAATAATTCTCTCTTTCAAATTTACAAATCTATCTATTTCGGATTTGGCTGGCTGATATAAGCTGCAAATAAATTCTGGAATACTACAATCTAAGAAAAAAAGAAAAAAAATGAAGTCATCTCACATTATGTGACAAAAAAGTTAATATCTTTCTCTTGTCACGCCTATATATTGTGAAATCCTATTTTATGAATTTATTAGTACGTACCCCGTGCGATGCACGAGACACGTGAGACAGAAATATTAAATAAGTTATTTTCACAATCTTTGTCCGTTTAAGTATATAAAGCAATATGATTATAATCTATTTTCAATAAGGTTACAATATATTTTGCACCACTTTTAATCAGCGTTGTTTTTTTAGTCAAAACATTAAATATGAGTATGTTAGGGCTATCTTGTAAAATAATTAATATATTATCTCACTAACACATTTATAGTAATATTAATTTGATTTTAGCATATATATTTATTCTTTGATATAAGAGAGAATAACAATTTTACTTATTATTGTTCACCATATAATACTTAATTATTATTTTATTATAAACTTTGTTGTCATATAATGTCATTATTATTTATAAAGTTATAGAAGTTGTACGTCTTCTTTTTCTTTTTATTTTATGTAATGAATATTTAATGCACGTTAGTATTATTTATTTATGTAATCAATTTAAAATATGTAAATAAATTTAAAATTAAATAGTGTATAAATATTTTTCAAAATATACACACGTTTTTTAGAATTTAATTTTGTATACTAATTAAACAACTTTGATTTAGAAAATGCCAAAAACTCAATCCCTTCTATGATCAAGATTTTTCTAATTCGCATGATAAGGATTTATAGTTTATTT